CTCTCTCTCTCTCTCTCTCTCTCTCTTTCTCTCTCCCTCTCACTCTCCCTTTCCTTCTCTCTCCATTCAGTCCTACTTAACATTCAAAATTCAAAGACACGAACTCCTGCTACTGCTGTTTCTTTGCTCGTGTTGACATCATTGGCCACAGTTGTCATCATCACAGGACACTTCCAATATCCAGCCCCAACCCCTTCCCTCTTCCCGGCCCCCTGCTTCCCTCTTTCCCTTCTCCCTTCCCCTCCCCCTTCCCCTCCCTCCACCTCCCCCCTGGCCTCCTTCCAATCTAGATCTGATAAAGCTGAGGTTAACCTCTAGCCCCAGGTCTTAGTTGTAAAATGATCTGCTTTTTGTTTCTTACATGACGTGAATACTCAAACAGAACCAAGTTGAAGCGGCGAAGGTCTGTTTGATTCCTCCAATTGAAGAGTGGTTTTCCAAAACTCTGTATATATGTATGTGTGTAGCATTGTGGTGAAATCAGGCGCTCGTCAAAACCGACACACAGAGTTTTGGAAAACCACTCTTCAATTATCATTGATTTACGTGAAATGCGTCTGTCCAGCATGACATCACAGTGACCCCTCTGACCCCACAGTGACCCCTCTGACCCCACACGTATCTCCACGGAGAGCGGAGACCCTGGATGTGGGTAAATCAGTTTCGAAAAGAGGGCTCAAGTACATTTTTACCGCTCAAGTCAGGATAAGATGAACAATTTCGTCTGCAAAGATGAACCAGAGCCTCCTGCTCCTTGCTTCTTTGTCCGGTTCTCAGGCCCATAACCCCCCCCCCTCCAGCCCCCAACCATCCCTACCCCCAAACCATCCCTTCCTAATCAAGCTAATGCTACTGCTGTACCGGCCAAAGAGATTAGCTATATTTCCGGGCGGAGCGGGCAGGAAATGCAGTGACACCGAGGCCTGGCTCCCAAAGGGGCTCTTTGATAATGTTACCCAGCCTAGGAGTGCACGATCGAGTGACAATTGAGACAACGCATTCTCTGACGGTCCCGAAGGAAGAATTTGTAGATCGGGAAGCCAGCCTGGCTCTGAGAGCTAGTTCCTGTGTGCGATTGGTAGTCTGACGTCACATCAATTGGAACCGGACAATTGTTGTGGCATCAGCAACCCTTTCCCCGCCCTGCATCTCCGTTTACATAATTATTTCAAAAGCTGGTTCCTGGTGTGCGTTTGGTTCTGATATCAAATCAATTAATTGGAACAGAACAAACGTGATAATGTCCACCCTCCCTTCCCCGCCCCCACCTGCACCCCAATATCCAGTCCATTTTCATATTTCAAAGGAGCAAACCCTATGGACACGGCACGTTTGACAAATTTTTGCGCTGCCATTGTCTCTTTGATCTGATTCCCACGTGGTAAAATTGTACAGTTCTATCGGAAAGAGTACGGAGTTGTTACCAGAGTGAGGACAGAGAAGTTCAGGACAGAGGTAGTGAGTGGTGGAATTCGATACCGTGATGGCAGCATGCCTAAAAATTCCTTGCAACATTGCAAAAGAAAGGAAGAGAGCTGATCATAACTTTCCACATTAGCCTGGTTTTTGAACGACAGTGGTGTACATGTATTAAGTGTATAAATCAGAGAAATGTTCAGGTAAGAAGGGACTGGGAGATGAGGGCTATCTTCACAGAATCAAACGGCAGAGAAACGAAAATATGGAAACCAACAGTTTTGAACCGGCTTTGAGAATAATTATATTCCACCAATAGCCAACTCGTCAGAGCACAGAAAACAGCTACCTGAAAGCGGCTGAATTCAGTTATTTCCACAGTAGGAAACGAAAGGAGCCTTGTACAATTAGTGCTCTAAAGGACAGGTTGGTTAGATTGACATGACCTCTTATACCTACAACGTACCGTGAGTTACATTCATCAAATGTTTTCTCAAAATTGATAATACGCTGAGGTTTATTTACTAGTTGGTTGTATCTTTTTCTGTTTGTATGCACCACATACATATTTCCACTCCTTAAACCACGAGGAGATTGGTTTTATAGATGTAGCTCAATAGAATAGCCAAACACAAAATGAGAAAAGACATCTGCTTTCCTCTTGAAAAAAAAAGAATGGTGATCTGAACATATAACCTCAAATTGTATGGATTGAATTATCTAATTTAACGTATTCACACAAGGTATCTGATCCCATACAATCGGCGGATTCCAAGTAGAAATTTTGATTTATAATAATATTACTCCATTTATTATTTTAATATTATTTCATTATTTTACTCAAATCAATTCTATTGTTAGTATTATTGTTTTTTCAATAA